CATCCTCATGTCAATACTCCTAGCGCACCCCCTATCTCTACTATCCTACCTCAGTGTGACCAGCACTCAGGACCATTACCCCTACTTGGTATCGAGGGGAACTTGGATCGAACAGTAGTGACAGGCACCAGGGCTAGCCATGACCCAGCCCTGGTGGAAGCGGAATCGAACGAGCCTCGTCGCACGGGAAGTTCGGACACCAGGCCCAAGCAATCTCCTACTAGCCCCTACGTTGACCAACTGGTAACTCACGCCCTCTACTCACCCACCACAGTCCTAGCTGATTTTAAGGCGGGGTACTTATCCTCGTAACACCTATCATCATCTCAGTTAGTCGAGACCAACCAGTGACTCACGCCCTCTACTCGCCCACCACAGCCCTAGTCTGCCACTCACAGTCTAGCTGATATTAAGGGGGGTACTTATCGTCGAACACCTATCATCATCATTAGTTGATCCTGACCAACCAGGGACTCACACCCTCTACTCACCCACCACAGACCTAGCTGATATTAAGGGGGATACTTATCATCGGACGCCTGTCATGGTTATCAGTTGATCATGACCTCTACCTAGCCCCATGGTTGTGTATGTGTGTATGTATTCTATATCATGGATATGTGCCCGTGGGCTGTGTATGTTCGTAATGTGTATGTGGACCCAATTTCATAGCAGACGCTGCTCCCCACCATGGAGCATCTGCAGAGGTGAGTACTGAGTACTGGTGAGAGGTGCTTGTATCACCTCCACTAGTACATGCGTGTGCGTGTGTACCTTGAGCTATATATGTGTGTGTACAGTCGGTGTGTATAGTATGTGTGCATGGTAAACTCACACAAAAAGAAAAGGAAGCATTGCTCTGGCCGTGATTGCAGTTGTATACATTCTTGGAAGTGGTAGTGTGAGTGTGCACTCAGTGAGGGCATCTCCACCCCGTGGCCAGGTTGTCAGATTACAAAAACACACAAAAAAAAGAAAAACAGAAACATGTATTCGGCCGTGAAAATGGCTGGATACGTTCCTCTAAGTGACAGTGTGATGAGGGTTACAATCCTCTGAGGGAACACAGCCCAAGCAGATCACGGAGTCAGATTGTCAGATTTCAGAAACAGAAAAAACAGAAGAAAAAAAAAAAAAAAAACGGAAACACGCATTCGGGGCTGTGAAAATGGCTGGATACATCAGGGTTACAATCCTCTGAGGAAACACAGCCAGCGCAGATCACGGATTCCGCCCTGCCTCGTTGGCAGGGAACTCATAATAAACAAACGAGAAATAAGAAAAGAAAACAACAAGTTTCAGAATGTGATCGTCTTTGCTGTAGGATGTTCTGTAGAGGAAGATTGTGAGCACGGCCTCCTAGACTACCCTGCCCGACATCATTGCAGTGCATAAGCTTTTTTTTTTTTCTCCAAAAGAAAACTAAGATTTATGGGACTCCCCAACCCTGGGCCCCACCACCGATTTCTTCGGGGGCAGACCAGTACATTGTAATTTCCCAACACTGGCAGAGGTACTTGGGGGGGGGGGGGGGGGGGGGGGGG